TTTTTTGAGTTGTGAAATTTGATTTAATTGTCAACAATTAGATGAATTGTGATATAATTGATGATAAAATATTATTTCTGTATATATGGTTACCAACATTTAAAAAGTTTCATATTCTACCTAACTTACATCTTATTGGTTAATGAGGGATGAAATTTTCCGACGAAAAAACATATAAATCATGCATTTTTTCTACTTCAATTCTAACAGTTTCTTCTTATTAAAAAAGTTTTTGGAATAACTTTTTTTCCTAAGCAAAACATAAGTAAAATATAAGCAAAACACAAATAAAATATTAGCAAATAAGAATGTAACGGTTCATACTTTGATTTAATTGTTCATGGTTAAGTCTTATATTCATTACACATGCATCGTTGCATAAATTTAGATATTGAAAACAAAACAAAAAAAGATGCAAATTTAAGGTAGTGATCTTTGTTTATTTTCTGATTCAGATGGTTATGTATAATAATCATAATTAAGAAACTTGCAACATCGTTGTATGAAGACGCCGCATAGATTTAGGTATTGTAAAAAGAAATAAAGATAGAAACTTTAGTTATTGATCTTCATTTTCTTGATCAGTAAAGTAAGAGGAAAAAGATAGTAGTATTCTCAATTTCAGTTAATCTCAAGCATTTCTTTAACACCAACAAAAAGAAGTTAATCTCAAACATTTATTAATAATAATATGTATAGAAATGAATTAGACAAAGTGAAACTTTGATCTGATCGTCTTGACAACTTGTTCTAATCTTTTTCATAGATGGAGTTGAGATAAAGTTAGCAATAACCTTAGCTCCTTGATCGGCGGCATTGCACAACTGGTGCCGTTGTGATTTTCGCTGTAAGTGATCATGTTACGATTCAATTCTTTCTTGATTAAATCCATTTAATTCTACCTTTGGCCTTATTTCTGCTTTCTCTTCCATACAGCTGCTCCACGTAATACTCCTCCGCGGCCGCCTCAGATCCAAGCTCCGGCTTCTCCCATTGAGATACATGAAGATTGAGATATGAAGACTGTTAAGGGTTTAAGGATAATGAATCAATGTAAAGAACTACTATCTCTTGTAATGAGGTCAACATAATGAATCAATGTAAAGATTCCGGAAGGTTTTCAATGTTGCTCAAACACTAACGGTATTCATCCAATATTAGAATTGTAGTCTATCTATTAACATTTTTCTTTTTCATTACAACCATAGTTATGTAAGTTTTTCATAATTAAGAAACTTGCAGCATTGCTGCATGACGACATTGCATAGATTCCGGAACTAGAAGGGAAAGCTATTCCCCTCTCTATTTTGCACCTTGAGGATTCCTGGATCGTAAAATTAACATCATGGATAGTCACGTTAGCCCAAGGGAAATGAAGAACGATATAATGATGATCTATTCATAGTAAACTGTAATTCAAATGCAAGAAGTGTAAAACGCAACAATTCTAACGCCTTGACAACTTTATTCTTATCTTAATTCATTTAGCTCTTTTGCTCGACCTCTTCTTCTTCACGTTTCCTCTTATCAACACTCGCTTGTTTTTTTCTTATCTCTGAAGAGGATATATCCATCCGGAATTTTTCTGGTGGAATTGGGATAAACATGTCGCTTATTTCCTCTGGAATATCAAGATCTTCAAGAACCTGCAGTGGAGCAAGGATAAGGCATCCACCATCTACTTAAGAGAGTGAAACAGTTTTTGTTCTGAGATTTTAGTGCCAAAGTCAAACCTTAAATACACCATCGATATCGCGGCCACCAACAAGGAAACTGCAACCTGTTCGCTTGCAATCACCGAGTATCTCCAACATCCTTTTCTGGCTTCCTTCATAGTACTTTGGCTGCAACAAGTTAACATCCATATTATTCTTTGAAGAAGATAATTCCAACGTCTGTCTTACTGAGTTATCGTGTCGCCACAGTGTAGCATACAAATCTAATATTAGGGTTAAGCAAAGAAACGAAAAAAAATGAACATACATTAACAAGTCTTGCTGCAGTGTCAGCTCCGATTACAAAACTGCTTCCTGGAAAGAGTTCAGCTTTCTTGTAGAAGTATGGCTGATTTGAAACTATTACCGTCTTTCCTGCCAACCAGATACTAAACCAACATCAATAGATCACAAAATAACAGACATAAACTTGCACTGGAAAACAATTATAGCTCCAATCTGGATCATAAGATTGTTGTAACTCAGCGATGCCAAAAAGTGAAAACATGAATAATTAGTGAGTGAGAAAGAAAGATTCCGCCTACCAACTGCTTCAAATTGCTTGACACGATCTCTAATCTGTGCAACTGAAAGCGGTGGTTTGTCAGCATTTATTGCGGATATTTCAAAACATGGATACCCTCCCCCAGAAACACTGCATCAAAAAATCTTCATGAGAGATTGTTTACATTTTATATTACAGAGAAAATTACAGTTATCTGAATACTTGTTTCAACATGCCAGAGGCCTCTCCAAAATCCAACAACGGAATCAATTCATATAGCACAACATGTGGGTCACAACCAAAGAGATTACTTGCATTATATCAGATATAACTAAGAAACATAGAGTCAGCAAAGAATCAAAGACATTAATATATACACAGAAGACTCAGGATTTATCACAGTTTTTCTTTTAAACAGGTACACCTGAAAGAGAAGCAGGTACTCTTAGCAAACAAATAATAGCCTACCTCATAGCAACTTCCAACAGCTTGAGATGACCATCATGTAATGGATTAAAAGAACCAGGCAGTATAATCTTTCTGTCTTCATCTGACCCGTGTGCTTCTGCCATAAAGTTAGAACTACATCCATCATTAATGGCAACGGATGCAAGATTCAGTGTAAAAAAACTTTAATGTAAGTTTTGTAGGGTCAAATGACCAAAATCTTACCCCCAGAAAATGGATAAATCTTAAAGCACAATTCCCCATTTATAAGCTGCTCTAGTTCTTGTTCTTCAATAAACTGGGTTTCAGACTCATCAGGCACCTCGGACTCGGTCAAGCCAGAGTCAAGTGTCCCAGAAACTTGGCATGCCTTGGCCATAGCCTAAGATAATGACCAGAAAAGGTTTTAAGAAGTCAGTCCGTGATGAGTACCTCAAAGTACAATAGTCTTAGAAGATTTATGCGAGGTATGGTTAAAACTAGCCCTGAAGAATATCTATCTTAGTATTTCAGTTTAAAAAAAGAGAAGCATCTGCAAGTACTTGTTTGTAATAGTAATACAGTAACTGAAACTAACTTGTCAGTTGTCTTTTTTTTTTCCCTTAAAAAAGAGAGAAAAGCAAATGAGACACCAATGCCCTAGGCTGGTACTAGGTTGTAATTAGCTGTATAAGTAACACACACCTGGATGAGTACACGGCTAGCCACCTTATCTTCTTCCTCTCGGGTTCGTAGGTTCTAAAATTTGCCACAAGAAGATAGAGATACACATGAGTAGCTGATATAAAAGAGTAAAGCAAGAAGGGAGAAAGAATGTTGCAATGACCTTTGTTAAAGTGACTGAAGAATCCCATATTCGGTCGGATGCTCTCATGGACAGAAAAAACCTACACACGGAACAAACAAAACAATGAGCAAATATGTATAAAATCAAAATCCCCTGAGATGGTCGTTTGGATTACACCAGGTTTTACTACAACATAGTGAATTGATAGCTTACAGTTGAAGCAAACAACTCATTGTATTGGAAACAAGAACCTGTGATCCCCGCGCTTAGGACGAGAAGTTGCCAATGTTCCAGTAAAACCCACACCAAGAACCGGAAATCCTATCCACCAGATATAGAAAACATGTCTATATGTATTATTAAACAATCCAAGATTTGTGTATCAAGCAACCTGGTTTAGAGAGCTTAAGCGCCCGATTATAGGCTAGCAAGGCCATTTCCTTGGCCATCGATTGGCTACAGTGCTGGCTCGGAACCTGAGAGACAGAGAATGATCATAGAAATCATTCATTCCTGGAATAAGAGTAACGATTGAGAACAAACCCTTCCGAGCAGTTGGACCATAGAAATCCTGGAATAAGGAACCACGGCTTCAAGAAGAGTGTTGGAAGCTCCAGGAACCGACATCAACCACCCTAAAGCCTGAGGATAATTGCAGTGATGATGCTATTATT